TAAGGTTGTGTTTTGGTAGGTTTGTTACCATCAATCATTGTACATCTGTCTGTCACACAATTGGTGACTATCTAATGCACTTCACTGGAAAAAAAAAAAAAAAAAAAAAAAACTTTTTTGCCAAATATTTTTGGTCACAGGGTTGAGAATTTTTGAGGTTAGTGTAAAATAAACAGAACCATTTTTTTTTAAATATATATTTTTATCAATCTGTGTATGAGTGGGTCAAAATGAGCTGATCTAAAGCTGTAGATAAGCTGTTACTCTTAGAAACTAAACCATAGACAATGGCTCACTAAACTCTAAAAGATCTCCCCCTCCTCAGCAGGAAGAGTCTTTTCCTCCTCTTCATTCCACCTACATTTTATCATTGACATAAACACACTTATAAGAGTCAGCTGCCTTGATGTCAGTTTCCTGGATGTCCACCAGTGTTGTGTGGCATATTTTAATACTTATTGTATTTTCTTTAAACAATAGTTGATTGTCAAACATAAAACAGAAATGTTCTCATATGTTCAATCTATTGATTAATGTAACGTGAAACATTTTGTCAGTTAGATCGACTTCCCCTGTCTTTAATGCCCTCACCTAACCTAGCTTTGAGGATAAGAGATGCAGATGTTAACATATAGTGGTGACTGTAATGTAAAATCTTTATCACATTAATCAACATTAATTCAATTGAAAGTTTCATCAGTAATATTTAATTCAATTCAAAAATACTTTATACATCCCACAGGAAAATTAAATGTTGCAGTAACTCATATGTTATTTTTTATCCAGGTGTTGTAGTTGTTGATACTGTAGCTGTAGGCAGGAAAGGATCTTCTGTAGAGGCTTGTGTTGTACCGGATCTGGAGGAGCCTCTGACTGAAGACACTGTGTTGTTTAACAATCTTCTGAAGAGGATGCTCACTGCTGTCCATAATCTTCTTCAGTTTATGAAAAATTCTTCTGTGCGAAATGATCTCCAGAGTTTCTAGAGGAATTTCTAGAACAGAGCTGGCTAACTTTACTAGCTTGTTGAGCGTTTTCGAGTCATTTGCTGTGATGCTGTTACCCCAGCAGATTATGGCTGATGTCTGATCATTGTTCTGCTTGAAGCCTGTCATCTTCTTCAATCCTGACCATGCATCTCGGATATTGCTCTGCTGGAGCTTGTTTTCCAGCTCTTTCCTGTATGTCCGCTTGGTTTCTCCTATTTTGTTTGTACAAAAAATACTCTGTTTATACCTTTTAAGGTATAAAATTACTCTTTATTTATACCTTAAGTTGCTTCTGTATATTCCTCATTAATTCCCTGTCTCCCTTCTTAAAGGCTTGTTTTTTCCTGTTAAGCAGCTCCTTCAGCTCACTTGTGATCCATGGTTGATTATTTGTGAAGTATTTCCCTGTCCAAGTAGGAATGGTGTTATCTACACAGAAGTTTATGTAATCAGTCTCGCACTCAGTCATTGCATTGAAGTCCTCGCAATTCGGTTGAAACAGTGCATCCCAGTCTGTAGCCTCAAAACAACCTTGCAGGGCTTCTTCATCTTCCTGATAATTGCAGGTTGTCTCTTATGAAGTGGCTTCTACTCTGAGCAGAGAAAAAAAAGACTGTCATCTGATTTCCCAATAGGATGTCTTACTTCAGAGATGACATTTACATAAAACAAGTCCAAAATGTTGTTTTCTCTGGTGCAGCAGCTGACAAACTGTTGGAACGTTGTGAAGCTTGATTAAAATCGGCAGTTATATGTAGCCTAAAGAACGGAACGTTTTGTTATATTTCTTGAGTTGTGTCAGTTTTCATTCCCCTTACTAAAGCAAATCTTTCATATCTTCACCAAATTTATAAGTTTTAATTCGCCCTTGGTTAGTGCAGAACTACGTTATTGAAATGCAAATACATAATAATTAGTAAAGAACAGAATATAGAAACATTAAGAAAACTTATGAAACAGTCAAAAGTAAATTATTAAAACACTAGAAAGACTTGCAGTCATATTAATCAGCCTGCTTTCTGTCCCCTGCAGGAGAAAAGGTTAGTTTTTCTGTCTTTTTCCAGACTTCCTCTCCGGATAATCCCACTTTGGAGGAAGAATTGATCTGGGTACTAACCATCCCTTTTACTAAGGGACGTGTCCCAGGTCAGAGGTTCAAAGATCAATATATTGATCCTTATTCGATCCAGCGCTGGGTTGATGGGACCTCTATCCTTAACTACTTTACATTCCACACTGGCTGAAATGGATTCCTGTTAAGTGTAGAAGGCTTGGACACCGCGCCAGCTGAGGAACTCAGGGGTCAAAAGTGAAGGAGCGCACTCTGTTACTTTGTTTGCTGTGATATTTACAGCACACGTCTTGAAGAGGGAAGGATGTGAGTACATTCAGCGAAGAGTAGTGATCTGTCCTGAACTGGAAAAACAGGATGTGAGCAGAGGAGGGGGAAAAATAAAAAAAAATAAAGGTAGTGAGCTCAGCTCAGTGTCTCATTTAGAGGTTTTCCTTTTTTAATAAAGATATTTTACTGGATTATTTTACTAAATAAATAAAGTTGGTGGAGGACACCTTTAGCATGATAAACAGATTGTATAGAAATCTGCAAAATAAATCAGACAATCAAATAAATCTGGTAAAGGCTCTAAATAATAGTTATGCCAGATGCATCATGCAGCATGAAAACACCTTGAACGCAACAAAACCTGCAGAACTGTTTCCAGCGTTTAACTGTTGAGGAACTAAAACTACATCCTGTTGTCCTTCTGGGATGGAAGCGGAAAAGACAGCACAGCTTAAAAAGGTTCAGAGCTGCTGAAACACAACAGGAGACGGATCTTGTTCTTTAAAGAGTGTATATAAAAAAATCAGTGAAATAAAGGGTTAGGGTAAGGGTTAGGGTTAACCCTAAGTTTAAGTTTAAAACATCCTATTACATTTAAAATGGTTTCAGGACATTGGATATCTCTCTGAGTAATGCTTTTCATTGCAGGTTAATTTGAATTTTTTATTTGAAAACAATGTTCAACATTTCAATTTTTATTTTATTTTTTATCTCCACACCTCCTGCATTGATCCATAAAGCTTCTTTTTGGAATATCCAGTTTCAATATATAGAATCTATAGAAATATTTATATTTACATCTACATGTATATATCATGTTACCTTTAACGAATATACCTGTCCTGTAGGAAGTAAACGCTGTTGTTTTACATAAAACATACAGTAAACATAATTTCTTTATTCAGAAATGGGTTGAAACAACCTTTTTTTAATCAGTTAATTAGTTGACTAATTATTTGAATAAAACTAGAATATCAAAGGGTGCTTTGGAATATTTCAGTCTCTTTCTTCATTGATTACTCGTCCACTGAATTAATTGATTAATTAAGATAAATCTGGTTTAGTATTGGTCTGAGATAAAATAACAGACAATAAATATATTTTTTCGGTTAATTTATCTCAGACCAATATGCCAGGAGTTCAGTTTAAGCAAAGCAGCAAATTTGCTCCAAAGTAAATGATTTCAAAATGATGAATGAGCCAACATACATAAGCAAATAGGAACACAGTGTGAAAGTTTTCTTTCTCCTTTCTTCAATACTGATTTCCTGTGGCCAGCTGGGTAGTTTTAGCTTGGTGCAGGACATATGTTGGATTTCATAAGCACTTATAAATCTGCAAATACCGTCCAAAATAAACTTTTTTGGGAGGCTCATCAGAATGTGTGCTAACGTTTTCCTCTGCTCCTTCCTCCATTGAGCCGTCTTAGTGTTGACCTGCGTGTCCAATGTGTTCACCCTTATTTGACTAGACCCCCTTCCCCAACCGACCATCAGCTGACAACAAAGCAACAGACGAGCCTGTCGATAAGTCACAGCGGGCCTCAGTAAAGCTGCTCCCTGTTGACATAGATCAATTCAGCAAATGCCAGAACAGCAGACAGTGGGCCTTTATGGACCTTAATGTCGCCTCGACTCTCTGATTGTCGACTGTGCTCACAATAATTCCTTTATTTGTTGTTTTTGCAATCAGGTCCAATAGGTCTGCAGTGAGCACACTCTGTGATACCTCACAGCTAAATTAGAGTTTGGCTGGAGCTCCGCTGACCACCTGGTCTCCCTGTGTGTTTCTAAAAGTCATTTACTGAAAACAAAAAGCCTTGGCAGTGCAACAGAAACAGGAACCGGAGAACAATGAAAGATCCGAGGCACGTCTCCGTATCTGCTCCCATCTTTTAAAATCCCACTGAGGTGTGACTCGTCTTTACTTTTCAGCTGCTTCGAATTAGGAAGCGTCTCTTATCTGGTTGTTTTAGCTCCTTATCTGCTGATTTGCTCAGAGCAGTTTCAGCCGATGGGGTTGAAATGTACCAGTTGGAGTGCTCCAGCTCCACCAGATGGAGAGAGATAGCACAGAAAGGAGTAATTGACCACTCTGATAAGAACAGAAATTCATGAGGGGGTGTTAGCATGGAGTGCCTGGACATAGTAATGGATTGACTGGATGAAATAAGGTTTGGTGCTGTTATGGAAGTCAATTTGTTCAGCAACGATCCAGCATTTCTTTTGGAACCAAATTACAAGGCAATCAGAACATAATGCAACCCATAGAAGATTTGAATTTAAAAAGCCAATAAACATAGAAGTGAATGTGTGGACTGCAGGATTTTCACTTTCAGTATTGTTTTGGTAGGTGTC